GAAATATTTTCCCTCAAAATTCTTTTCTCCAATAAGCCTGTGCATCAGGAGTTATTTTGCTTATAATGCTCAGGAACAAGATACATATTTGTTTCTAAATTAAAGCTGGCTCAGGCTTTTACCTGAAGGGGTTGGTGGGAAATCTTAATCTAGTGTTGCTTCTGGGTCCTGAGGATTGTGCCCATTTTAGCAGGTGGGATGGGAGAGCTCTCATGGTCCAAGGACCACACCTTAACTTTCAGTACTCACTGCCTGTCTGGCTGGTTGCTCTTCTGCCTCAGGAAGAGCTGCTGGGCACTCGTTCTTCCTGAAGAGTATCCACATCTGTCCTGTCCATCCTTGTACCTCTGGAGTGCCCTGCTTGCTAGGGCACTAGCAAGGGCACAGTCTTTACAACCCAGGAGAATATCCCAAACCACCAACCACCTTCTTTAACCATGGAGCTGCTTCTCAATCAGGGCTGCTTTGGGACTTTTGTGGGTTCCTGCCCACACAACGTAAAATAGACAATATGTTTTAAACTACATTCTTAAGACTACTACAGTCCTAGCGATATTTGCTGCTGTTATATTCATTTTTTCCTTCTGATTTTAAAAGAAATTACAAAATATCTTCCTGGGCGATGAGCTCTGTTTGTGGTGTTTAGTGGGCCACAAGCTCCCAGCTGTGTCCACCTCCTTCCCTCAGGACAGGTTCAGCTCCTTGCCCACTGGAACCTAAAATTCTAAATCTATGAATTCTCCTGGGAGTAAAAGAAATTGAGAATTTTGAGTCCTTTTAACCTTCTTGGGAGGCATGGGTGAAATGTCTCTCATTTGTGATAAGGCTATATCCCCCAAACGAGAGATAGTCAATCTTCAAACTTTGTTTTCTTATCCCTTTAAACTGTTCACCATCTACTAAGGACAGAGGTGAAAACAAAGGTGGTGGTCACCCTACCAGCTGAGTCTTTTTTAATGAGCTCATCCTCCTTTAGTTGCCGGGAGACTCTGAGCAGATGTGGGAGAGCTCAGCACTGTTACCCAGGAAAGGGAGGGACGTAAGGCCAGAAATGACAAGTACCTGCAGCCACATCCTTTTTGGTTTCCTGTTTGCCTGGGGTCTCTAAATATTCTCAAAAGGCATTAACCAAAGTTTAGGAAGGTGGAGCTTTTGACTGGTTGTCTCCTGTACCTATTGCCTTAGGTCAGGAGTCAAATGAGAAGGTGTTATAAAAAAATGGAGGTTTGGCTTCCTGCCACTTCAAAAGCCGAACTCGTGAGTCAGACGTTGGTACAAAAGAAAAGGGGTTTATTCAGGTGCCACACTACCTAGGAAAATGGTGGACGCCCATCTCAATATTCCAGCTCAAGCCCAAGATTTATATAGGGATAGGGAGGTGAGACTTTTTAAAAATACGATTATCTTTCTAGCTTTTGGCATGCTTAGGGACCTATCCATTCATATTTCTAGCTTTCTGCCAGCTCAGTTTAAGGACCTCTCCCTGCTGCCATCTTGGGTCAGTAGGATGACTCCCCTGACACTCTGGAGACTGACTACTGGTAACAAAGGGGAACAGTTTTTAAGAATGGACAGTTTCTGGCTTACTTTGGGAATCATAGTTCCAAATTTTTCCAGATATACAGTTGTTTCTAGTGCATAGTCATTTAAGGGTATTGTTTTGCCTAATTTTAAGGTTGTCTTCTGTTTAATCTTTAATTTTCTAAGGGTTTTTTTTTCAGATGTTGAATTTGGGGATTCTTTATACAATTGGTATACTTAAATCATGAGATTTTGGTGGGCACACTGCCTTGCATCCAGATTTCATAGGCAGAGCCTAAGCAATACCATATTGTTTCTATGTAAGGAGAGGGGGGGTCATGTCCTTTTAATATTTTAATATCATCATTGTAAAACAAAAGTGCTTACATTGAAATACACATTTTATATGAAAAAAACAATCCAATGCTTTAAAAACTGACCTGGAAATTGGAATTACATATTCTTTTATGATGAATATGTCCATACATTAAAATTTTTAAATCATACTCATTAGCAGGGGAATGGTTGTATTTGGACAGCAATGATTGAGCTTTGTCAAATTGAAGGATGGAAGCCTGTAGTATTTTGCAGACTTTGTCCTTGTCCCAGCATCATTCAACATTTCAATTAGTGACCTGAATGAAATTACTATTTGTAATTTTATAATTTGTGAATGGTGAGCTGTGAAATTCCAGATTTACAAATCAAACTATACTGAGTGACTGGAGTTAGGGATGATGTTAGAAAATTTAAGAGAGATGAAAGCAAAATGTTATATGTGGGCCTAAAAAGCCAACTCAATCTTGAGCACAAGAAGGGAAAAAGAGAGGAGGGTCTTAAACACAAGGCCTTGTAGTTCAATAGGCGAGATTTCTGCTGCTTCTGGAGCCTAGGCACAATGTGATAAATGTGCTGATGGAGAGAGATATTACTAAAGTAGGGCATAGTGTGAAAAAAGGAAAAATGATGATGGAGGCTTATTCAGTGACTAACTTAGGAGATGATGGGACCGGGCCTAAGATAGTGGCAGTGGGAGTGAAGAGGAAAACCATAAATGTTGAGAAATAGATGGAATATTATCATGACTAGTATCCTCACACTATCACTCATCTTTGCATCCTAGGAACCAGCATCATCATGCCAGTGCTCAGCACAAGCAGCAGCCAGGATGATTTCTAGAACATGTGTATACTTTCCCATAATCATTCCTTCCCCTTTTCTAATGCCAAAGAGTTTGTACTTTTCAAACGGTGCTTATCTGTGAGCAAAGGCCAGGAAATAATTAGGAGTATGCAGTCTCTGCCATGTGTTTGTCTGATGCTTTTAAAAATAACACATTTTAGAGATCTGACCTCCTTGTTTCTGCCATGCTTTTTTAGCTGTCTCTTTGGTACTTCTGCGTTAGTTTTGTCATTTGTGCACTTGGTTCTTCTGCCTTCTTGTAGAAAATTTCAAAGCAAGACAGTTCTATCAACAACACCTCTGTCTCCTGTTAAATGGATTTCTAAGATGTTATTTTCTGGCAGCTTATCTGATGGTGCTGAGATCAGAGGCCCTGTTATTTTCAGCAATAGGAGGTTTGATTCCAATATGACATACTGTAGGGGCTCCAGCTTCAGCAGATTCTCCCCAGTGGCACAGTGCCAATGAAGCCATCTTCGTCTGACTCCCTCAGCATCTGTTACCATCAGGAACAGTAAACACACACAAACACACATGGAAAAGCAGGTTAGGAGAGTTAAACTGATCATTTGGGATCCACAGAGGACATATGAAAAAAAAAGGAGAAGGCAAAAACAGCACAGTAAGAGTATTTTAGCTAACAGTGACATCAATTCAACAATGACATGTGATGATGATAAATGGGCTTTTAGTATATTAGTTATACAGGAGAGATATCCCACTGTGCTGGTGACACCTAACTAGACTGGAGCATTGTGTCAGTGACAGGGGCCATTCTGTACAGGAATACAGACCAATCTTCTTTAAACAGCCACTGAAGGGAAAGGGATTATTTTGAAGCATAAAAAAGAAGGTACCAGGAACAGGATAGTTACCTGGAAATACATAAAGAGCTGTCATATGAACATACATGAGATTTACTGTTTACTCTGTCCCAAGGTCTGGATCTAGGACTAGTGGATACAAACTATAGGAAGTCAATTTCTAAATCAGCCTAGGAAAGATTACCTGAAAGAACTGTCTGGGGATGAGGGCACTCTTAATGGGAAGTAGATCCCCATCATCAGCGGAAGTTTTTGCTTAACATCTATAATGCAGAGGAATTTGAGGTATATCCAATGCGGAACTGTTCCTTTCAACCTAGAGAGTCATTAATTGTATGATATCAAATTTTAAATGATTAAGAACAAAATTGGTACTAAGAGTAGAGGCCGTTAGAATAATTTTCCAGGGAACCGATTAGAAGAGATATATAAGAGAAATAAAGGAGTTTTGTTTTTGAAGGAAATCTTGATTGAGGAAGAAATCATCCACTGGAGAGAGGGAGAGAAAGAGAAAATGCAAGAAATGGTTGGGAAACCAGGCTCTGTGAAGGATAGGAGGTGCAATTTTAAAGGAGAAAAAAATTTCTGAAACTAATGAGATGCTTGTGAGGATGGCTAAATGTGAACATTTACTGATTCTCCTGTTCTCCCAACTGGTCATAAAACTTGTCTGTATAAATTAGGAAACCAAGTATTTCACTGAGGGTATAAGGGTGGGCCAAGGATGACTGACAAAGGAAGGAAATGAAAAGCAGCCCCACTGCCTAGCACTCCTGCTGGACCCATCTTGTTGGTGGAACCTTCAGCAGTCAGTCTTCTTGTCTTGTTGTCATCATTCAAGTGTCTGTCCCTCTAAACTTCTTCCTTAAAGAGCTGAGTTGTAGATTCAAGCCTCCTGGCCTGATTATGGTGGTTAAATGATCTTTCTAAAAAACAAAACATAACCAAACTTGTTTTGGGAATTCAGCTTGGACGCAAAATAATGTGAAATATTTTAATCAAACCTCGGTTCTGAGACTGTACATTATGAAGACAAGGGCGACAAGATGTAAGGAAAACAGACTTGTGAACCTAAAGAGAAATTATTTTATGCACAATTATAGTATTTTTTAAAACAAGAGGTCTGGAACTTTTGCATTCATAATGGCCTGGAGGGGCCTCAAACCAGAGCCAGATTCTAAAGGTATGAGCTGGTGCCACAGGTTTGCATTTCTAACATGCTCCAGTGCGGCCACAGCATGGCAGCAGCTCTGTGGACTGCACTTCTGGTAGCACCATACTAAAATACAGTGTGAAGAATGCAATCCTCAGTATTTTCTAATACTTCCTAGTTAAAACAGATCATTATAGATTATTTAGTTCCTTCCTACAGTGAATGAATCTTAATCTGTCATTCTCCTAGTATGACTATGATTATTATCACATTCAGGTACTACCTATATAATTTAATAATTCAAGTTGTCTTTATTTGGATACTGTAAAATAAAACTTTATTATAAATAGAAAACTAGTACTAATTGTTACATGTAGAAGGTCATTTTCAGACAAAATACAATTTAAAACAATGAAAAATTCTTGTAAAGTATTACTTCTAAGGTACTGAGCCTGAAGTCTATTCTTTTTGTTAACAAGGGAGCCTAAAATGTGACAGCAGTTGTAAGAAGGCTCGAGCAAGAACCGAACTTCCTTACTACAGAACCCAAATGTCATTTATTACTGTGTCCTCTGTGTGCCACCCAATGTGGCTCACTGAACTACCACCTCTGTACCAGGCCCGCTTGTTTTCTGGCCAGTTATACTCAGCATACCCTGCCACACTTTCCCTATACATCACTGTTATTGAACATGGGCTGCAATGAAAACGGGCTGCTGGGATGGAAACACTTCTACTAGGGATGAGGGCTGCTTGTAGATCCACCTGGATCTCTAGTATTTCACCATAAGTTGCTATTCATGGATGACTATTCTGTCTCCCCATATTAAATTATGGGGAAAAGTAGCTGGTATGCATGTATCATACACATATAGACTAGTTGGAAGGCTGAGTTTTTAGATCTAGGCAGAATAGAAAACAACATGCAATGGTTACTTTACCAATCAGATTACCACATCATCAAACCAATATCAAGTCCTATTGGAAACTGTCAAGATTTAAAATAAATAAAATTTTAGAATATGTAAAGAGAAAGGGGAAACTTCTCAAATTAAATCTTTATCCTAACACTTTAAAAAATAAGTTATAATAACATAATACTTAATTAGTTTCCATTTTCCATATTAATTTCCACATTTCTCAGAGCCATAGGAATGTGGCACTACAGATTAATGTCAACCTCCAAAATGGAGATTAAAATACATATTTTATATTCTGAATATAATGTTTAATTGCCTCAATGCCATCAAGTAATTTCTACTCTTACTCATTTTTTCATACTGTGAGTGTAGTGCTTATTGAAAGTTTGTACATTCAAATTTGTCCTGTATCATACTTTTTGCTGACATTGCTAATATAAAGATTTTCAGAAAAGGGCTGTTATTCCTTATATATTTTTACTTTGACATAACGCAACCAAGAAAGAACTCACATTATATCTTAAAGAAAAAAAAAGCTGCTTTGATATTATGCAGTTAAAAAGAATCCACGAGAGCTCTGTGTGGTACAGACATGATGTTACTTAGCACAGAAAGTGGGCTGCAGGATAAAGCTATAATGATAGTATGAGGAAAGGCCCTTTTCCAAATGAGCAGGAGAAGGGGACAGAAGGAAACATATATCATGCTGTTCACTCTGTGATTGGTTGAGATCAGAAATGGAGGCAGAAACACATGTGGAAAGATGAATATTTTTCTTTGGAAATTTACTTGGAATTGTTTTACCTCTGAAACAATTTTTAAAGGAATTATTCAATAAATAACACTTAAAATGTAATCTGGGGAGTTTAATACACACCCCTTGGGAGAGGATATGAACTTGTATGGCAGAGCTGTGCTCTCTCTGATGTAAGCATAAAGGGCACAACAGAAAAGCCAAACTGTATCTCAGATGAGTAATAAGTAATCCACAAAGTGAATGTAAAGATGGCTTCCATGAGAAATGCCTGATAACTACAGATATCATTAGGTACATATAATTATTACACTTAAAAATAGCTTCAATTAACCAGAGATGAAAGTTGAACTATGTAGCAAAATGCAAATTTTCTACTATATTAATTTAAAAAATACCATGCTGTCATGTAGGAAACTAATATTTTAGCTGAAGGAAAAACTTCATTAAAGCTACCAATACTCACATGGGTTTCAAAACAACAGTCTGATCAGGGCAACATAAATAAATACAAAATACCTTTTAATAAACCGACTTTTCTTCTTGAAAAAGAGTCACCTATAAGCTTTTATTTTGAAATAAATTTAAAGATGATGATTGAGAAGCTGGCAGTATTTCCGGGTATGGCTGAAGACCCATCTGCTTGTTGTCCTTCAGCTTTTGTACTATAACTTTGGCAAATTCCTCTCCTTGGATGTCAGTGGTGTCCAGTAACTGTCTGACTTTTGCAGTCCTTGTGGGTTTGGTGCTAATGAGTTCATAGTCCTCCTTCATGATCAGATCCCTGGACAGAAGGGCGTCCAGTGACTGGTTAAGGCAGGCTTCGGTCATCTGGCTCACAACATCCTCCCTTTTACTCTGGATCCACTGCTGGGCCACTCCAGGCTGTGAACATTCTGTACAGAGCAGGGGTGACAATTAAAAGGTAAGATGAAGAGTAAAATGAGATGAAAAAAGAAATAATAAGGTATAAAACCTAATTTACTATGATTGTGCTAATATGGAAAACTAGTATTTTGGAGTGGTTAAGTTTTAGGAAACATTCAGATATTTGAGTTGTCTCTTCCCATCCCCTCCCACAAAAAAAGCACTGCCTTTTTATATGCTATAAATTACTGGGGCAACACCATTTTTCAGGTTTTTAAATATATATATATAAAATATACCAGCATATTTGTCAAATAAATGGAAATAACTTTGCCTTTAGTAATATATCAGGTCACATCTCCTCTTAGCATCCCTCCCTAGAGTGATGCTCATGGCATACCATTGAGCCTGTGGTTACACATCAGCCTTCTTGTGTTCTCCTAAGCATGTAGTTGTGAGGTAAATGGTATCACACATACTTCATAGTAGATATTTACCTGAATTTCCCTTGGCTGAGAGTGGATTTATTGCTAAAGAGCACAGGGCAGTCTTGTGGTCACAGAATGTGGCCCTCTGAGCTACACACATGTTGTCCCAGCTGTGATTTACTTGGGGGTGAAGCAGGGTAGAGAAGTCCTGGGTTTTTCCTGAAAAACAACATCTTCATTGGGGTAGAATATTCCTTAGCTATTCCTGTTAGATCAAGTATCAACATTTGGTCATACAGATGAGAGTATTCAAGTATCTGTAATTTTTCGTTGCTGTTAAAGCTGGCTCATAAACCTAATTCTACAAATACATATATTTTTTAAACATATACAAAGGTTTATACTGAATATTTCTACCATACTTGTTTGTACTTGTTGCTCTTACGTAAATTAAAAATCATGGAAATTCACTTCTTTACACCATCTCCTCCTTCTTCCATGTCATATTCCTCCTCCTGCAGTTTAAATGTGTCCTCTAATTCTGTGCATGACTTATGTCTGTACACTCTCCTTTGGTAATCCAATTCAGCCTCAGGGCTTCAGCTGTCACCTCTCTTCCTGAGTCTATGTAATTAAATTTTCTGACTTCACAGAATCTCAGTCTCAGATTTTAAACAGGTCACTGGACATCACCCTCATATACACTGCTGAGTACCTCAGATTAAAAAAGACATGAAAAATTTAATTATTTATCTTAACTTTAAAATCTATTTCAGTTGTTAACACCAGTATTCTCCCAGTCACAGCTTTATTTCTCTCCATTCCCTCCTAAAAGTGAGAAGTTATCAAGTCCTATCAGAGTGTCCATACACCTGGCACACCTTCCTCCCTTCCTGTACTCTGATTAGGGAACCTAGTCTCTCAGCTGCGCTGCAGCAATAGACCAAGAGTCTACTCACTGATCTTTCCACCTTGTCTCCTTTTCCTTCCAAAATATCCTACAGACTCTGGCCAGGATGAATCTTCCTAAAACAAAAGATTTCATCATGTCATACACTTGCTCAAAAATTTGCACTAGTTGCTCCCTACCCAAGGGAAAGCCCAGACAGTGCAGTCTGGTATTGGACACCACCCTACTGACCTTTGCTCCTCTCCTTCATTCCCTCTTCAGATAATCCCAACTACTCACTGTTCTGTGTTTTCTTGCTGCTGAGCCTCTATGCTGTTCCTGTGCCTGGAATGCCCATCCTTTATAACTATAGGTCCAATCTTCAGCCAGAAATAGTTCTTCATGATAACCACATGGTATAGCAGAGTGACATGAAAATATTTATCAAAGACCTGGCTTCGAGTCTTGGATTTGTCAGCTACTAACCATGTGATCCAGGTCTTGACCTTAAAAATCTGTAAAATGAGGAAAGTCTCCCTCACAAGGTTGTTGTGAAAGTACTTGTTAAAATGCTACTCTCCCACTGAAACACCACAGTTCTGTTTCCACCTCCCTGTTATCTCATTTTCTATCTCACACTGTGGATACTTAGACATGGCTCCTTTTTCTTGCAGGAGATTTTTAAATTTTTTCTAAAATGTCTAATATCATGTCTTTGATACTTAAGTGTATCTATTGAACACCCCTAGAACATCTTTACTCTCTGTCCCTTTGTAAAAATGAGATGAATACAAATGAAAGACATGTGTCATACAAACCATGATGGTTTGCCAAGAATATCATCTTGAAAAAAATAGAAAATTTATAATTCATACTGACTAAAAAAATTTACGTACTATATAAAAAATCATTGTCTTGAGGAGCTGACAGGGACCTTGAGGTTTCGGGAGAAGCACTATGTTTATGAAGCTGAGAGGATCCACATGATTCCTACAGTAAACAGGGGATAAACAATTTAGGTTAATTAAAAGCCATTTTAAAAGTTATACAGCTTTAATTTCTAAATAGTTCTTGCATTTGGCTTATTATAAACAAAGAATCTTGAAATCTGTAACTCTGCTTACCTACTGATTCAGAGCAAATGCCCACTGTCAATGTATCAGATTCCTTCCACATGAAGTGTTCCATGGAGAAGTAGGAGAGAGTTTGACCTACTTTTAGCTCTATCATGGAGTTATGAACTCACCTTCTATAAGGCCTTTCAGTCCTCTGGCTCTCTGGTTCTTCTTCAATGATCCCTGTACTATCTAAAAATGCGCATGTATGGGCTCAGAAATCTAATGAGAGAGTGTATGTAAAGGGGATTCAGAGACCATGTGGAGTGCTTTATGGTTCATTTTGAAGCTATTTTCTGAATCTGTAAAGTGAACACACATATTCTTAAATGAAATAACCAATATGAATGTGCCTGAAGAAATCTTTCTTTGTGGATAGCCATGCAAATGGCATTTTTCTTTTATTAATCACCTTAAGAGGAAAGGGCAGGCAGGCATAACTAGAGGCAGAACTGTAGTCAGTGGAGCACCACAGTCATTGCCAAACGAGGCAGAACTGTGCTCTGTGGGGATAACTCAAAAGAAGCGCTGCAGTTCCAGTGGGGACTTCCCCGGCTACATGACAGACCCTATAACCTCCCAGGCTAGCTTCTTGAATATGAAAGAAGGAGTTAGAGTAAGTGACTTTGCATATTCTTTTCACAGTTTGAGTTTATAAACAATTTTTTTACCTCTTGTGGACTATGATTTAGAGATACGTTCAGCGATGACTCTGTTTTCTTCTCATATAAGTGAACAGTACTTGAAGCACTCTGCAACTGGAATGAATATATATGTACTTTAATTGGAGGTGATTAAGAAATTATATGAGTAAAACTCTCAAACAAAGCAACTCATGCTTTGAGAGTGATCTTTGTCTTCAGAAATTTCTTTATGAAAAATCTTACTAAATTTGTATTCTACTTTTGGCCCTGCTGTCTGCTAGCTGTGTATGGTGCTTTGTAACTCACTTCCATGTACCTCGTTATCTCACCTATACAATGGAGATTATATTCTTGCCCTACCAGTTTTACAGAACTGATATAAGGATTTTTTAAAATTAAAAATAACTACAACCACTGTAAGTGAAAATAATACAGCAAGTTAAAAATAATAATGAAAGTAATGCTATTATTAAATGGTATTCAGGTATTTGAAAATATATATTAAATACTTTATTTTAAAACTCAAACTTTCTTTTTTTAAGTTTTTACTTATTTGTTTTTTAGAGAGGAGAAGGGAGAGAAACATCAATTCTGTGTGGTTGCCTTTTGCTTGCCCCCTACTAGGGACCTGGCCTGCAGTCCAGGCATGTGTCCTGACTGGGAATCGAACCCACAACCCTTTGGTTCACAGTCCAGCACTCAATCCAATGAGCCACACCAGCTGGGGCTAAAAAGTAAAAATTTCTTTTAAAATGAAAAGTTTTAAATATAGATTCAAATGTGAACATTGTTTGGGGACAAAAAGGAACTAGAATGGTTCTTTTCTATTTTAAAACCAAGAAAACAGACTCTTCTATCAACCTCTGCTTAGAAGAGAAAGTTATAAAGAAAGAAAAGAGAACTCAAAAATAAAGCAAAAAGAAATGTTATCAGAAGTTTTTATCTACTAAGTAGAAAAATTGGAATGTTCTGGAAAAGACTGTACCTACTCAGAAGTAGGAAGTCAGTGGAAATTTATCAAAATAATGAACATAGTTCATCTTTAGTTACTTAAAAAACTAGTACTATCACTGTCAATTTTTAGTTCAGTTAAGGGTAGTTGTTTCCTTTATGTGTGTCCTTCTAAACCAAAGGTTATATCAATCCACCCGGCAACTTACAAGAGGCCAACAGCAATGTCACTTAGTCATAAATAAACAATTCAAGAGTTTGGATCATAACTAATGATTTTTATTGTCATATTCCCAATACAACATAATGAAACCCAGTAAGCGCTAAACTATGCTCCATCCCTAAAGGACTACAGTTGCTTTTTGAACATCTTTTGATAATGTTAATAAAACCCTGCAGTATTAGGTCTGTTCAGTTCTTCTGATTGGCAAGAGCCAGCATAAGAGAATAAGGCACCTGTTTCAGATCCATATCAACTGCTACTTTGGTCTATGCAATATCAAGTGAGGACAACTAAAAAAGAAACAATTTAAAAATACACATTTTGGCCTCAATTTTTAGTAAAAATCCTATAGCTTAACTTAAGTCTCAGAAAAGCCTGAGAACACTGGACAAAGAGAAGTGCGAGAATCCAGACATCTATTACTCTGGATATACTAAAACTTTAGGGAAATAAATGTAGATTTAAAAGAACCTCTAGCTGATTTAGGGAATTCATTGTAAACACTGGCATTTATTACATATTACATTTAAATTTAATATATAGGAATTCGGAAATATTTTGAAATTTGGAGGTGGCCAATTTGAATGAAATGGAGGACCTCTTAGGTGACAGAAGTATAATATTTATAGTCGCTAGTAAACTCTCCCACCCTATAGAGAACCTATCCACGTGGCATGGAGAATTTAGCCCAGCCACGAAAACCAGCAGGGAGCAAGCAGGCACACAGGAGCCATGCCTATGGATTGGTTTTCCTGTGGGAAATCAGGCCTGCATTGTACCTAGGCGGCTATGAGGCTTGCTTTTTGCTAAAACTCCCTCACCCTGAATTGAGGCAGCAAATGTTTACTGCTTATCTTTAAAGTAACTTCCTAAAATCTGTGCTAAATCTCCCAAGGATGGAGTGTAACCAGTTCAACCACTTTTTCCTTTTCATTTACAACTATCCTTTTTCTCTGAAGTAATTAGCAACTTCCTCTCCTTTGTTATCTGTCAAAGGTAATCACCTAAAGTGAACCTGTACATAGTAAATGAGGACCATCCTCGATGTAATGTACCCAGAAAAGCAATAAAAGCCTGTCCACACAGGGGTCACAGCGCTGTCTGACTCAGAGAATGGCTATGCTGCCCCTTTTTCTCCACAGGACTTCTGTAGTCCATGTGAATTTGTTTGTCGCAGCTACAGCACATGGACTGTGCTGACCGGGTCTGCATCACTACCCCAATACTGTAGCCCATACCTGTGAAAAGTATACAGGTAAAAACTATAAACTAAACTAAAAATTTTCATGACTAATATGTAATTGTTTAAAGTCTGATTTCTAGCACTTCATTTAGCAATGGATTTACCTTTGTTTTCTTTAGTTGTATAACAGCTTCAAGAAAACTTATCTCTTCAAATGTTCTGAGAACTGGTTCGAGTTCTATTAAACATTCTAAAGAAGAAAAAAAAATCCGAGTTCAGATTGCATAGAAGCATTAAGTTGAATAGTATAAATACTAATATTTAATCGATAAAACCTTAAGTCAGTTTTACTCCAAACTGATGAAAATCAACTGTCTTAACAGACTTTATTATACACCTAGAGACATCACATCTACATTGTACAGAAAAATAAACTCAAAGTGGATTAAAGACTTAAATGTGAGATCTGAGATCACAAAACTCCTAGAAGAAAACAGGTAATAAACTCTTTGGTATCAGTCTTAGTGGTATTTTCTTAGTATGTCTGCTCAAACAAGGGCAACAAAAGCAAAAGTAAACGTGGGAAAACAACAAACATAAAAGCTTCAGCACAGCAAAGAAAACCATCAACAAAACAAAAAGACAACCTACTGAATGGGGAAAGATATTTGTAAATGATACATGAGATAAAGGGTTAATATCCAAAAAAATATAAGGAACGCATGCAATTAACACCACAAACTGACAATCCAATTGAAAAAATGGGCAGAATGGCTGAACAGACACTCTTCCAAAGAGTATATACAGATGGCCAATAGACATATGAAAAGATGCTAGACTTCACTAGTAAGATGCAAATTAAAACCACAATGAGGTATCGCCTCACACTACCAGAATGGCTACCATCCATAAATCAACAAACAACAAGAGCTGGGAAGGATGTGGAGAAAAGGGAACCTAGTGTAACGTTTATGGGGATGCAGATTGGTACAGCCACTGTGGAAAACAATATGAAGTTTCCCCAAAAAGTTAAAAATGGAACTGCCTTATGGCCCAGCAATTCTACTTCTAAAACTGTATCTAAAAACAAAAACACTAATTTGAAAAGATATGTGCACACCTATAGTCACAGCAGCATTATTTACAATGGCTAAGATATGGAAGCAAACTGTCCATCAGTAGATGAATGGATAAAGATGTGGTACATGTACAATGGAATATTACTCAACCACATAAAGAATAAAATCCTGCCATTAGAGACAACATGGATGGATACAGAGTGTATTATGCTAAGTAAAATAAGACAGAGAAAAGACAAATACCATATGACTTAATTTACATGTGGAATCTAAAATCAAAACAACATAACACTTATGGCCAAGATAGAGGTGTAGGTAGATACACTGTGCTTACTCATACAAACAAATGGACAATAATTTATTTATTTATAATGTATTTTACTGATTAGGCCATTACAGTTGTCCCATTTCCCCCTTCATTCCCCTCCTCCCAGCACAACCCTCCCCCCATTCCCACCTTTAGTTCATATCCATGTGTCATAACTTCTTTAGCTTCTACATTTCCCACACTTCTCTTGCCCTCCTATTTTCTCCCCACCATCTATGCTACTTATTTTCTGTACCTTATCCTCCCTGCTCCCACCCCCCTGTTGCTAAGCTTCCATGTGATCTCCATTTCTGTGGCTCCATTTCTGCTTTAGGAATCTGCTTAGTTTGCATTTGTTTTAGGTGTGGTTGTTAATAACTGTACATTTGCTGTCCATTCACTGTTCATGTTTTTTAATCTTCTTTTTCTTAGATAAGTCCTTTTAACACTTCATATAGTAAGGGCTTGGTGATGATGAACTCCTTGAACTTGGCCTTATCTGAGAAGCACTTTATGTGCCCTTCAATTCTAAATGAAAGCTTTGCTGGATAGAGCAATCTTGGATGTAGGTCCTTGCCTTTCATGACTTGGAATACTTCTTTCCAGCCCCTTATTGCGTGCAAGATCTCTTCTGAGAAATCAGCTGACAGTCTGGGAACTCCTTTGTAGGTGACCCCTTATCTCTTACTGCTTCTAGAATTCTCCCCTTCATTTTAATCTTGGGTAACTTAATGATGATGTGCCTTGGTGTGTTCCTCTTTGGGTCCACCTTATCTGGGACTCTCTGAGCTTCCTGGATTTCCTGCAAGTCTATTTCCTTGGCCAGATTTGGGAAGTTCTTTATTATTTGTTCAAATAAGTTTTCCACTTATTACTCTTCCTCTTCCCCCCCTATAATTCAGATGTTGGAATGTTTAAAGATGTCTTGGAGGTTCCCAACCCTCTCCTCATTTTTTTGAATTTTTTTTCTTCATTCTTTCCTGTTTGGTTGTTTCTTTCTTCTTTCTGGTCCACTCCAGTGATTTGAGTCCCAGTTTTCTTTCCATCACATTTTCCTTCGTTTCACTTAGTGTAGACTTCATTTTTTCATCTAATTTCCGACCACAATCAACCAGTTCTGTGAGCATCCTCATCACCAGTACTTTGAACTGTACATCTGATAGGTTGGCTATCTCTTGGTCGCTTAGATGTACTGACTCTGGGGTTTTGATCTGTTCTTTTGTTTGAGCCATTTTGTTTTGGTCTGGTTGCGCCTGTTACATAGTGAGGGGCAGAGCCTTAGGTGTTCACTAGGGTGGGGCAACCACTGTCCCTGTGTTGTGAGGCTGTATATGAGGGCGGGGTCGAGAGGGAACGATGGCTCTTGCTCTGCTTGCTGTCAGATTTCAGTTCCTTCTGCCACTTCCCACAAGCGAATTGGGCCCTTCTGGTGCTGGTTCCCAGGTTGGTGGGCTTGTGTACATTCTACGACCCTGTGGATCTCTCAAATGAACTCTCCTGTGAGGCTGGGAGTCTCTCCCAGCACCTCAACCCCGGCAAGTTTTTTCAATTGGTGCTTTTAGGCTTTATTTCCCATTGCTGGGGTCCTGGGTTGTGTGGTTTGTCTCACTGCCCATTTTTTGCCTGGTTTATCTGTGAACAAATGTGTGTCTGCGGTTGGTCAACCACCTTGTGCGCCTTACTGGGTTTGCTGGTTTCCTCCCTGCGCCCGGGTTGCCAACCACCACCTTTTCCTGCCCGGACCTCTCTCTGCCGCTGGTTGCCAACTCTGCCCCTCTTACTGGTCTGAATGAATGGTTCATTGTTGTAGGATTTCGATACAGTTCAATTTTCTGTCAGTTCTGGTTGTGCTTTTGTTTCTAAATCTTTGTTGTTCTTATCTTCCGCCAAGATGGAGGCATAGGTGGAGACGCCATGCTTCCTCACACAACCAAGTTTAGAGACAACTAAATATTAGCAACAGAAAACACAGCCAGAACACAGAAAATTGAACATTTCGGGAAGTCTGATAACAACAAATTCTTCAGCCTGACCGGTAAGAGGGGCGAAATCAGCAGCTGGAGGAGCGGGGTTGCACAGGAAAACTCTGTCGGATGGACTCAGGCGCACGGAATCCAGGCGCAGGGTTGGACCTGGTGGGCAACTCAGCGAGCGACCTCGGGGAAACAGCAAGGGAGCAGAGCTGTGGGTTGACTGTGGTCTCGCATCCGTGCGTGGACAAGCGAGGGAGTGGGTGATTGGACGGGACCCAGCAGGCCCCAGTTGCTAGCGGAAGCAGAGGGCGCCGCCATTTCATTTCCTCGCTCTGACCACGCCCCCACATACAGCATCACAAACCAGCCACCTGGGAGTCCAAGGCCCCCTCCTCGTACTTAACGGGCGTGAACAGAACAAAAATGGCTCAAGAAGATCTCAAAGCCCCAGAGCCTATAAATCTAAGCAATGAAGAAATAGCAAAACTCTCAGATGCACAGTTTAAAACACTGGTGATCAGGATCCTCACAGAACTGCTTGATTATAGCCACAAATTAGATATACATATGAAGGCGAAACTAATTGAAATGAATGGAATTATACAGGAAATCAATAGCGATGAAAAGGAAAATGGGTCTCAAATCAATGGATTGGACCAGAAGAAAGCAAATAATGGCCAAACAGAAAAGAGTGAAGAAGCAAGAATTCAAAAAAATGAGGAGAGTCTTAGGAACCTCCAGGACATCTTTAAACGCTCCAATATCCTTTTTTTTTCTTTGTTTTTTTAAATTTATTTTTAATTTTTTTATTGATTATGCTGTTACAGTTGTTCTATTCCCCCTTTATTCCCCTCCACCCTACCCCTCATCCCCACCATTACCCCCCCTTAGTTTATGACCATGTGTCTCAAGTCCTTTAGATTCTATATTTCCCATGCTATTCTTGCCCCCCCCATCTATTTTCTATCTACTGTCTATGCTACTTATTTTCTGTACCTTCTCCCACCTTCTCCTCCTCCCACTCCCCTGTTGCTAAACCTCCTTGAGATCTTCATTTCTATGTTTCCACTCCTGATCTAGCTGGCCTTTTAGTTTGCTTTCGTTTTAGGTGTGGTTGTTAATAACTGTGAGTTTGCTGTCCTTTCACTGTTCATGTTTCTTTAACTTCTTTTTCTTAGATAAGTCCCTTTAACATTTCATATAATAAGGGCTTGGTGATGATGAACTCCTTGAATTTGATCTTATCTGAGAAGCACTTTATCTGTCCTTCCATTTTAAATGAAAGTTTTGCTGGATAGAGCAATCTTGGTTGTAGATCTTTAGATTTCATGACTTGGAATACTTCTTTCCAGCCCCTTCTTGCTTGTAAGGTCTCTTTTGAGAAATCCGCTGACAGTCTGATGGGGATTCCTTTGTAGGTGACTGTCCCCTTAGCTCTTGCTGCTTCTAGGATTCTCTCCTTCATTTTAATCTTGGCTAATGTAATTACGATGTGCCTTGGTGTGTTCCTTCTTGGGTCCAACTTCTTTGGGATTCTCTGAGCTTCCTGGATTTCCTGGAAGTCTATTTCCTTTGCCAGATTGGGGAAATTCTCCTTTATTATTTGTTCAAATAAGTTTTCCACTGGTGGCTGTGCCTTTCCCCCTTCTGGTACCCCTATAATTCGGATGTTGGAGCATTTAAAGATGTCTTGGAGGTTCCTAAGACTCTCCTCATTTCTTTGAATTCTTGCTTCTTCACTCTTTTCTATTTGGCCATTATTTGCTTTCTTCTGGTCCACTTCATTGATTTGAGTCCCAGTTTCCTTTTCATTGCTATTGGTGTCCTGTGCAATTCCATTCATTTCAATTAGTTTCGCCTTCATATATTTGTCTAATTTGTCGATATAATC